ATAACGCTCTGACTGATCTCGAAAAAGTGCACGCCGTTGTGGCGCGAAGCACATTTCGAAGTCAACATGTTAAAAACACCAGGGGTTCAGTCCACTTTTGGGCGCTCAGATGTCGTTTCGCGTGGCAGGCGCAAGGGATTATACACCTTGTCAAAAGTGAGGAAAACGTCAGGGTTATGTAGCATTTTCAACTACAACCAGCACTACACCACACTACACTACACTACTACAACTACACCTTCACTACATTCCACTACACTACACTCCACTAGACTCCACTACACTACACTCAATTACACTCAATTACACTACACTACATTACACTACACTCCACTAATGTTGAGTCCTGATTAGTACCTAGGGTCGCTATTGTGGCAATTTTTTTTCCAAATTATTCTGAAATTCATGTATTGTTTGGAGGGTTCGCTTTTGCGGCAAAACAAAATTGGGAAAGCCCTTTTTTTTGCAAAAACAACTGTAATTGCTGAGAGGCATTTTTTCTCAAAAATGCTGTAGCTCAGTCAATTTTTTGCTCATCTCCCTATCTGAGCCTGTAAATGCATCTCTATCTGAGTAGGTTTGTTTGCTGGGTTCACTATTGCAGCAAGCTGTGCCAGAGCAGCCCCTGAAGAAGGGAAGCAAGCCATTTCCAAAATTAACAAATTCAAACTCCAAGCCTTTCCCAAAAGAACCAATCCCTTATTCAACCCTTATTAAAGAACAGCTTTCCCACAATTTTCCAAGGCCCTGGACCAGTAGAGGCCCCATTTCACTTTAGTAGGTTTGTTTGCTGGGTTCACTATTGCAGCAAGCTGTGCCAGAGCAGCCCCTGGAAGCCCAGAAGGGAAGCAAGCCATTTCCAAAATTGCCAAATTCAAACTCCAAGCCTTTCCCAAAAGAACAAATCCCTTATTAAACCATTATTAAAGAACAGCTTTTCCACAATTTTCCAAGGCCCTGGGCCAGGAGAGGCCCCATTTCACTTTAGTAGGTTTGTTTGCTGGGTTCACTATTGCAGCAAGCTGTGCCAGAGCAGCCCCTGAAGAAGGGAAGCAAGCCATTTCCAAAATTGCCAAATTCAAACTGCAAGCCTTTCCCCAAAGAACCAATCCCTTATTAAACCCTTATTAAAGAACAGCTTTCTCACAATTTTCCAAGGCCCTGGACCAGTAGAGGCCCTATTTCACTTTAGTAGGTTTGTTTGCAGGGTTCACTATTGCAGCAAGCTGTGCCAGAGCAGCCCCTGAAGAAGGGAAGCAAGCCATTTCCAAAATTGCCAAATTCAAACTGCAAGCCTTTCCCAAAAGAACCAATCCCTTATTAAACCCTTATTAAAGAACAGCTTTCCCACAATTTTCCAAGGCCCTGGGCCAGTAGAGGCCCCATTTCACTTTAGTAGGTTTGTTTGCTGGGTTCACTATTGCAGCAAGCTGTGCCAGAGCAGCCCCTGAAGAAGGGAAGCAAGCCATTTCCAAAATTGCCAAATTCAAACTGCAAGCCTTTCCCAAAAGAACCAATCCCTTATTAAACCCTTATTAAAGAACAGCTTTCCCACAATTTTCCAAGACCCTGGGCCAGTAGAGGCCCCATTTCACTTTAGTAGGTTTGTTTGCTGGGTTCACTATTGCAGCAAGCTGTGCCAGAGCAGCCCCTGAAGAAGGGAAGCAAGCCATTTCCAAAATTGCCAAATTCAAACTGCAAGCCTTTCCCCAAAGAACCAATCCCTTATTAAACCCTTATTAAAGAACAGCTTTCTCACAATTTTCCAAGGCCCTGGACCAGTAGAGGCCCTATTTCACTTTAGTAGGTTTGTTTGCAGGGTTCACTATTGCAGCAAGCTGTGCCAGAGCAGCCCCTGAAGAAGGGAAGCAAGCCATTTCCAAAATTGCCAAATTCAAACTGCAAGCCTTTCCCAAAAGAACCAATCCCTTATTAGACCCTTATTAAAGAACAGCTTTCCCACAATTTTCCAAGGCCCTGGACCAGTAGAGGCCCCATTTCACTTTAGTAGGTTTGTTTGCTGGGTTCACTATTGCAGCAAGCTGTGCCAGAGCAGCCCCTGCAGAAGGGAAGCAAGCCATTTCCAAAATTGCCAAATTCAAACTGCAAGCCTTTCCCAAAAGAACAAATCCCTTATTAAACCCTTATTAAAGAACAGCTTTTCCACAATTTTCCAAGGCCCTGGACCAGTAGAGGCCCCATTTCACTTTAGTAGGTTTGTTTGCTGGGTTCACTATTGCAGCAAGCTGTGCCAGAGCAGCCCCTGGAAGCCCAGAAGGGAAGCAAGCCATTTCCAAAATTGCCAAATTCAAACCCCAAGCCTTTCCCAAAAGAACCAATCCCTTATTAAACCCTTATTAAGAACACACTTTTCCAAAATTGTATACAGGCCCTGACCGAGAGGCCCCATTTCACTTTAGTAGGTTTTTGTTTGCTTTTTGTTGATGGGTTCCACTTATTTTGCAGCAAGCGGTGACAGAGCAGCCCTGGAAGCCCCGAAGGGACAGCAAGCCATTTCCAAAGTTTGCAAAATTCAAAACTTCCAAGCCTTTCCCAAGAGGAACCAATCCCTATTAAACCCTTATTAAAAGAATGGTGTAATTACAAGTACTAATTACAAGTACTACAAGTACTACAAGTACTACAAGTACTACAAGTACTACAAGTACTACAAGTACTACAAGTACTACACGTACTACAAGTACTACAAGTACTACAAGTAATTACTACAAGTACTACAAGTACTACAAGTACTACAAGTACTACAAGTACTACAAGTACTACAAGTACTACAAGTACTACAAGTACTACAAGTACTACATGTACTACAAGTACTACAAGTACTACAAGTACTACATGTACTACAAGTACTACAAGTACTACATGTACTACAAGTACTACAAGTACTACAAGTACTACAAGTACTACAAGTACTACAAGTACTACAAGTACTACAAGTACTACAATTACTACAAGTACTACAAGTACTACAAGTACTACAAGTACTACAAGTACTACAAGTACTACAAGTACTACAAGTACTAAGTACTACAAGTACTACAAGTACTACAAGTACTACAAGTACTACAAGTACTACAAATACCACAACTTCATCGGCAAAAAAAAACAATAGTAATTAGATTTCAATTGTAGCCAATTGAAATCCTTACTTAATTGAGGATATGTTTTTCTTTTGGGAAGAAAATTTTTGACTTTCTACTTTAAAGAGAGTCCAGAAATAGTTTAGGGGAGGGGGGGGGGGGCCACACACTAATCAGGACGCAACATTATCTCGAAACTATCTTCACTTATGGACCATTTTTGGACCAAAATACGAACGGTTCGGCAATCTTTTTTGGGACTCCCCCTCAAAGTTTTGAGATATCCTATCCCTGAAATTTATTCCCGCTATTTTTTACTTATTTCCGATGAGAATTGCCCCAAGTGGCAAATGCCCAAGTCCCAGACACCTCGGTCCATTTGTCCAACACAATACCCACCAGTTGGGCTCACCAGTAATGGTACAAAAATGGTAACCCCCAGCACCATGTCGCTAGTCCCCACGGTTGCCGCGCTGCCGAACTTGAAACCGCGCCCGACTCGGGTGCGGCGGCCTCAAATAGTAGGGACATGATCAGGAAATGATCAGTAATCTGGGCACCCCAACTGCCCTTCGCCTAAAAAAATTACCATTTAGCGATGGTTGAAATCCCACCCATCAAAATGGTGATGAATTGGGGATGGTGGAATTGGGTTTGCCATTTTAAGTTCATTGAACTTAAATCATATTATTGCTCCAGTCGGCTCCGTAGCTGTGTTTTGCGGGAGATGGATCTTGGAACGGCTCCCTTAGTACCGGAGACGCAAAGAACGTTCAAAAACTGGCGAATATGCAGATACAGAGCCTGCCAATTTATGGTCGAATCATGTTGAATCACAACTTGGATTTGTTTAAAGACGCCCAAAAAACAAATTACTTTCCTCGAGTGATCCCCACCGACTGAAATTCTGTCGGACATATCTATTGTGACATTCTATCTGGCTTCTATCTGACATATATTCTGACAATTCATTTGCGCATGGTTGGAACTGGGGAAGCCTGGTTGGAACTGGGGCAATCCAACCACCACCGAACCACTCTCGACGGAGCTTGAGCTTTGGCCCTATCCCCCACAGCTGACGACCAAACTGACAAAAATACTATCAGCAACCACAAGGGTGTTTTTCACACACGCATGGTATTAAAGCAATACACGCACACACGCATGCATATATATATAGTATATATAAAAACCCACACAGATATATATATATATTTACATATATATATATTTACATATATATATATATATTTACATATATATATACATATATATATAGTTAAAACATATATATATATATATATACATACATTATGAAATGCTTTCTATATCTTTTGAAAAAATATATATCTTAAAAAAAAAAATATATACATTCGAAAAATATACTGCAAGAAAAAATGACAATATATACAGTGCGTGTAGGACGCTCTGGGGTTACGCCACACCAAAACCAGGCACGGAGTCTGCTCTTGTCAATTCCACACTGGCCCACACTCCTGTGCTCGAGGGAAAAGCAGGTTGGAGATTTCCACCGCACCGTGAACGGCAGCTGCTGCCAAGCGTCTGCCAAGCTATCTTATGCCAATTCCCGAAGCCAGCTTCAACGCCACGTTTCAACTGCCAAGAAAGAGATATAGTTTTGGCATGTTTTGGCTGTCTTGCACCAGCGGTCACCAGCACTAGAGCAATGCATCAATCAAGGCGCGCAGAGCTTGAATTTCTGCAGCAGGTGGCCTGCGTCCATGCCTGTCACTGAATGGTTCGTTGCAGGGTCGCGAAAGCAAATAGACTCCGCACCGTACAAATTTGAGAACATGGAAACTGGACAGCCAATAATTCGTGTCGCCTTCCGCAAATGGAACCTACAATCAGAGGGTTTTCCTTCACACTTCCCTACATGAAATTACACGCCCGGAAGTCCCCTCACAAAATCTGGCATTGACAAAAACATCTGAGCTTGCAGTTGAGGTCCGGCGGAGGAGGAGGAGAGGGAGAAGAAGGAGGAGAGGCCAACTGACATAAAATCTATTAAAATCTAAGAACCCCCACCTGACAGGTGGGAATTACAGACTCCGCACACAGTGGATTTCCCATCGGGAAAGCAAAAAAAAATCATCGGCAGATCAAGGATAATTCATAGTGAAATAAGGTTGTGCTGGGGTGGCGCAACCCCTACGACCCATCCGCAGAAGTAAAACATGTGTACAGATCTATGTGTAATATCTATAGATTATACTGTAGATATACATGTGCCTAGACCCTCCAAAGACCCCCAACAATTGCAAAACAAACGCAAAAATTATCAGGTAAAACATCCCTTTTTAATGGGTGCAGAGGGTCGTGCGGTAGTGCGCTTCCCATTGATTGGGGCTCTCTACCATCTATTTCACGCAGGGAATTACATCAAACCATACCCCAACTTTGGGGGTATGGAATCCCAAAACATTCCCCAAATTTGGGGTTTGGAATCCCAAAAAAAAATACCACGAATTTAGTGTTTTTTTTTCTATCTTTTGTTTTTTTTGGGGGCTCACTTTTGAGTTGTGCTTTTCACCATTTGATTCTATCCCATCCTGCGATTTCCATTTCTTGTTTCCTGACGGTATAAATTGCAAAAAAATGGGATATAAATGACTCCAAAAATTGGGTATAAAAGAACCCTTTTATTTATTTCGGTATATATACCCCAAATATTGGGGTGTATAATTGCCTAAAGAGTTGCTGTTAGAAGCAATGCCTAAAGGATAGAACGTCAAAACATCTTTCAAAGAGAATGTCCGTTGATGGAGTTCGCCCGAACCAGCGGCCTCTGAGGGTGCAAAAGAGTGCGTTCCTCTGAGTCAAGGCGGCCGCGGCTCCGGGAGGTAGTGGGACAGCGTCCCAAAGCTGCACGTCATCCGGTAGGAGAACCGGAAAATGGTAGACCGCAACCTGGAGCAAACGCATCTTTCGTCATCTTTCGTCAATGTGTTGATCCAGGTGAAATATACATCTACCATCATCTACCTATCTCTCTATCGACTTCTCTACCCACCCAACTACCTACCTACCTACCTATCTACCCATCGATCTATCTATCTCTTCCCTCCCGTGGAATTGGTTGTTCCCGGCCTTGCCCGTGACCTCCTGGCCGTCCCTGATCACGTGGCACTGCCTCGTGCCCAAGCTATTCCACTGGTCCCCAAAGGCCTTCGCCTGGAAGGCAAGGCCTTCCATCGAGAACTTCGGTTTGCGCTGGGCCTTTTGTGAGGCAGCGTAGAGTGCCTTTCCGCCCCGCTGGAGCGAGTCCCGGGTGCCCCACAAGAGACACTCAGGGCGATCCTCCGGCGGCGACTCCTTTTGCAGGAGGTTTGCCGCAGTGGGGTTGGCCTCCTGCTCAGTGAACCCCAACCGCACGGTGTGTGCCGGAACTCGACCGTTGGCGTACCGTGGGTCATCCTGCGCCACGCGCGGAGAACCAGTATATTCTGATTTTTCTTTAGTGGGGGTTGGTTTTTATTCCTTTAAGATTGTTTCCATTTACTGTAGGAGTTCGTGCGCCTCTCCCTTGCGCGCTCTTGCGCGGCCTGCGTTTCAGTCATTGTAAGGTTTTGGATGGTTTTTTTATGAGCATGGTTTCGCAAAAATACAGGCATTAAAAAAATTAACCTGGAATGAATCAGTGGGGCAAGAACAGAATTTGGAGTCTGAGATAGTGAGCGGGAGGGTGTTTCGAAGTGGTCCAACACACAATCTACAAATTTCTCCCGCAATTCCAAAGCAATGTATAGTCGTCACTATACCCGAAGAGACATAGAGTCTGAGATGGTGAGCAGTTAACGGCAGTTTCCAACCGGTTTCAGACCCTTTGTTTGTCATTGATGAGGTTTAGAATGGTTTACATAGCTTCTGGTTGGTGGTTGAGCCACCTCTCTGAAAAATATGAGTTCGTCAGTTGGGATGATTATTCCCAACATATGGAAAAATAACATTCATGTTCCAAACCACCGACCAGATAAAAAACAGCATATATCATATACATATGGAGGGTTCCGGGGGTTCTTAAAATGAAATTACCCTCTGGTTATTTAACATAGCCATGGACAATGGCCCATTTAGTTCGATGATTTTCCCAGCGAACGAAACCTCCATTTATGGTTGGGATTTTCCATGGCTATATATGTTAGTCATAACCAGATGGTACCCCGCAACCATCCCAAAGATACCCTCTGGTGAACTAACATAGCTATTGAAAATGACCATTCATAGTTGATTTGCCCATTAAAAATAGTGATTTTCAATAGGGTAGAGCCTGTTGGTGAAAAGCCACGGGATCCATGGGGGTTGACCAGACGGCAGCCCAGACATCCCAGACATCCCAGACACGGGATCCACGGGATTTATGGGATCGGAACGCAGCAATATCCAGGTGATCAAACAGATCATCTCTGGCATGAAGCGCAAATTACCTTGGCGGCTGGGATGGGAACTGAATGGAACTGAATGGAACTGAATGGAACTCAGGAGGGCTTGTGAAAAATCTGGGATGGGATTAAGATGGGATTAAGCACATTGATGGAAAAAACCATAGATTTTGAGTATATAAAAATCCATGGTTGGTTGGTTGGTTGGGGTTGGTTGGGGTTGGTTGGGGTTGGTTGGGGTTGGTTGGGGTTGGTTGGGGTTGGTTGGGGTTGGTTGGTGTTGGTTGGTGTTGGTTGGTGTTGGTTGGGTTGGTTGGGGATTGGTTGGGTTGGTTGGTGTTGGTTGGTGTTGGTTGGTTGGGGTTGGTTGGGGTTGGTTGGTGTTGGTTGGTGTTGGTTGGGGTTGGTTGGTGTTGGTTGGTGTTGGTTGGGGTTGGTTGGTGTTGGTTGGGGTTGGTTGGGGTTGGTTGGTGTTGGTTGGGGATGGTTGGGGATGGTTGGGGATGGTTGGGGTTGGTTGGTGTTGGTTGGTGTTGGTTGGTGTTGGTTGGTGTTGGTTGGTGTTGGTTGGTGTTGGTTGGTGTTGGTTGGGGTTGGTTGGTGTTGGTTGGGGTTGGTTGGTGTTGGTTGGTGTTGGTTGGTGTTGGTTGGTGTTGGTTGGGGTTGGTTGGTGTTGGTTGGTGTTGGTTGGTGTTGGTTGGGGTTGGTTGGGGTTGGTTGGTGTTGGTTGGTGTTGGTTGGGGTTGGTTGGTGTTGGTTGGTGTTGGTTGGGGTTGGTTGGTGTTGGTTGGGGTTGGTTGGGGTTGGTTGGTGTTGGTTGGGGATGGTTGGGGATGGTTGGGGATGGTTGGGGTTGGTTGGTGTTGGTTGGTGTTGGTTGGTGTTGGTTGGTGTTGGTTGGTGTTGGTTGGTGTTGGTTGGTGTTGGTTGGGGTTGGTTGGTGTTGGTTGGGGTTGGTTGGTGTTGGTTGGTGTTGGTTGGTGTTGGTTGGTGTTGGTTGGGGTTGGTTGGTGTTGGTTGGTGTTGGTTGGTGTTGGTTGGGGTTGGTTGGGGTTGGTTGGTGTTGGTTGGTGTTGGTTGGGGTTGGTTGGGGATGGTTGGTGTTGGTTGGGGATGGTTGGGGATGGTTGGGGATGGTTGGGGAAGTTGGTTGGTTTATGATTTTCTTCAGAATCCTCATTGGCTTGAGCCTCAAGATTCTCACCATCCAATGGAACCATGGATTTAGATTGTCGCTCAAGAGATGATAAAAGAAGGCCAGGGCACCTGAGAATGGCAATGGAAAAAAAACATGCTGGGAATTATTTACATATCCTAATCTTGACATGATGAAGTAATTCATCCCAACTTGTCAAGTTCTATAAAATGGCCAGGTCCATCAATCATCTTAGGTTTCGATGGACATGTTAGAAAGCCATGGGCCTGCGGCCGTGTCAAGCCCTTGATTTTTGTCATCTGTCTGGTGGCAACCTTTCGGGAAACAACGACTGGAAAGAAACCAAGCTATCAATGGATTTACTTTAGAAATCTACAGGACATGATTTCCCCCCCAAAAAAACTCGGAAAATCAGTTCTTGGAAGCTCATTTTCACCAAATGTGGATATGGGTTAAAAAAAACGTGGATTCCTCAAGGGGGTTCCCTACGCCAGTCCATCTGTACCAGGCGCTTGGACCAGCCTGCCAGCCAGTCTGACACTGTTGCTGCTGAAAGCCGTCGGTGGCTCCCCGAACCAAACAAGACTCTCAGTTCTGAGAGCCCCCATTCTTCAATATCAGGTTTGTGCCAAAATGAGTCAACATGGGCCGCAAGATGGCAATAACTAAAGTATGGTAAAATAATTGTGACACAACCACCGGCTTTTGGGCTTCCAAATTCTAACATGATCCCATGTATTACTGGGTCAATTACAATAACCACCAACAATAGAAACAATTTTATCATTTCCTAATCACCAGACTCATCTTCAACCCATGTTATCATTAATCCACCAATAATAAATAATGCATTCCTTTCCTAATCATTTGTAACTATGAGAGGAACAATTGGTGACGCTTACTACCAAAAATCCCCCAACAATCATTGAATATCATTTTCCTTACTAATCATCTTAAAACGACTACCAGGAATCATCAGCCAATAAGAAACTCATTGTAATACCTATGTATCCCCTAGTAAACCAACAGTTTGCTTTCGAAAATCACGTGATTTTTTACAGCTACAGCCATGGAAGCCCAGTTTTCACAATCCAGGCGACCTGCTTCGCCCCAAACAAGCAAGTACATGGCAATGACCTGTAGCTTTTTTTTTTAGGGGAGTCACCAATGGGTGAAACCGAACGGGATCAACTGACCTGGAAGGATTTTCCATGGGGATTTTTCCACCCTCTGGATGTGTCATTTTAAGCTCCATGGGAAAATCTGCCCAGCAGACCTCCACGGATCTATTTCGGCTTCGCCATGATTACCATGGGGATTGGCCAGCTAATTGGTTGGGGCTAACCAGGTGGATTTGACAGTGCCGTAATTGGAACACAAGCCATATGAGTCATGAGTCGCTTCCATTCAGATTGGGATTATACTTGGATTATCATGGGAATCTAGTGCGATTATCATTGGTATTATGGGATTATAATGGGGATATTGATATAGAATCCACACAAAAGCGGTGTAGTTTTTTCTTAACTCTTCCCAGAAACCATGGTGGATGGGGGGATAATCCGACACATATTTGATCATATTTGGTACCACACAATGGGGGTGCAACATGGTGTAACTATTTGACACATCTTAGGGGGATGGGATGAATCACATCTAACCAGTCTAACCTCCATCACAAATCTCTTGACTAAGTCATACTAAGTCAAGGTTCCGAATGTTTTCTCAATGGATTTGCTGCTTTGGGTGGCCATAGATGATCCAAATACCATCCCAAAAAGGACACATCTTCATCAATTCCAGCTAGATAGATTCGGAGATGCCAAAAAATAGATGTCGAAAACAACATTTTTTTCAGTTTTCAGCATCAGAAAACACCAATTTTCTATCTTTGATTTAGAAAATTCAGCCTGATTTGACCTTGGGCCTGCCTCACATGCTTCATCTTGGCTTAACCCTCCCAAAAAGACTGAGAACTCGCGGCTGTCATGTTGGGTGACACCACCACATAGCCCGTGGCAAAAATCATCAACAATCGATGTTTCGTATGACTTATAAGGATTATCCATGATTATCCCATATATGAAATGGAAAATAAAAAATGTTCCAAACCACCAACCAGTCGTTTTAGCTGGTTGACACCTCTTAAAAACTCGAGTTTTGGAGGTGAAACAACTCACCATTTTTGGCACGCCCAGGGCGCCTTGAATCGTTTGTTGGTGTCGCTTCCTGACAGGACAAACCGTTCCATGATTCTTGTTCGCGAGTTTCCAGGAACATCTTGAACCTATAGTAGCCTCCGTTGCCACCAAAAAAAATATCAAACTTTGCGGTTTTACCCGAAAGTTTTAGGAGTTTTACAATTTGTTGGTAGTCTTGGGAGGGCCTAGAGGAAACCCAATATGTGGTTGTCAAATGTTGTCAAAAAAGGGGCAGGATAACCCCAAATGGGCAACAAACTAACAATAATGTATTATCATCTATTTATCATGTCTTATTTTCTCAACTTTGGGTTTTGGTGTGCCCCATTCTCAAATATACCATGATAAACCATGAACAAAACCATGATAAACCATGATATAGCTTAAGATTGCACCACACGAAGAGAGGTGTCAAAGCTACTAGATCACCACAAATCACAATGTTTCTTCCTTTCATCCCAATTTGCCAAACAAACACACACACACATATATATATTTATATATATACCCTCTGGTAAACTGGTAAACTAACATAACTCTGGAGAATTACAATTTTCAATAGGTAAATCAGCTATTTCTATGGCAATATTCAATAGCTATGTTAGGTTTACTATGGTTAATCATAGTGACCATATTTCATGGTGGTTATATATATATGTATTATATTGCTTGAATTTCTTTCATGGTGAACTCCCCAATGTTCGGTGAAACATGGCGAAAAATGGCCACCCAACGCCTACCGCATCAGCTTCGCCTGACAGTGGCTGTTCTCGAATTCTTATTCTTCGCTGCAACTGATCTTCCCAGGCCAGGTAGCCAGACATCAACTCCTGGACCACATGGAATCGCGGATGGATCCGATCATATGGAGGAATGAAGTGGATAGGATAGCCACTGGTGGAGCTTTCGTGGCTGGAACATTCCTTACTAAATGGGAAAATCACAGGAACAAATCGGAGAAATATGGCACATCGAAGTAAATGATGAAATTGGAGGTATCGAGCTGGGAATTACCCTCTGGTAAATTAACATAGACCCTGGCAGATAGGGGTTGGAAGACTAGTTTCCATTAAAAATTGTTGATTTTCAGGGTCTATGTTTATTTACCAGAGGGTACATCGAAGTAAATAGTGAATTTTCCAGCCAGATTTGATGACACGGTATCCATCTGTGGAGATATCATGGATATTCCATGGAAATCCTGGAGATCTTGGGCTTATAGCTGGATATTCCACGAAAACCAGCTAATATCCCAATAGAATGGCCGTCATTCTGGAGAATTATCATTACCCTCTGGTAAACTAACATAACTATGGTAAATCACCATGTTTAATTGGTAAATCCACTATAAATGGCCATGTTCAATAGCTATGTTAGTCATTACCAAAGGGATCCAAAGGGTATGATTCACTCCTGAAAAAGGTCAGCTATTTTGGGATAGCTAGCCAAGTATGTCGACATGGACCATCATTCCAGTGACGTGACAAATTCACTTGCCCAAGATATTCCAATGGAGGATCATTAGGATATAGTATGGAGAGGACTCCTGACATATTCTATTCATAGTTCCGCAGCATCTCCCTGGGAACAAAAGGAATAATGACTGGGAAATGGATCAATTGTCGATTGTGGTTCCAAAAGTCTCCTGCAAAACAGGAACACTTTGATCATTTCATATCATTGCCATCTCTCCAAGCCAGGCACAGTGCAAACTTGTTTCACTTTCGCATGTTGTGTTTTTTCTTCCATACGAAGAGCTGTTGAAAATGGACCATGAATAGAGTGTAGCCATTAAAGATGGTGATTTTCCATAGTTTTTCGTAAACAAGTGTCAACAGCTATGCTAGTTTCATTGGTGGATCTGTGGAACCAGTCGATTGATGGTCCGCAGTTGGCAGTTGCAGCCCATCCTCAAAATTCTATAAAATGATCAACATATACCCTCTGGTAAACTAACAGTTTGCTGTTGAAAATGGACCATTTATAGTGGATTTACCATGATTTACCCATATTTACCCATTAAAGATGGTGATTTTCCATAGTTTTTCGTAAACGTTTACCAGAGGGTATCATAGTAGGATGGAGGTGTGGTACCCCTGTGCATCATTTTTTGTGCACCCTTACACATCCACGACTCAAGATTTGTTTGAGGTTTGATGCACAGTGCCCCAACTAAACATGTCAAGGAAGGTAAAGGACACTTTTTAGATCTGCTCACTTGAAAACACCAATTTTCTTCCCGTGCCAAATGGTGTTGACCCCCAAGAAGCTTGCTCTTACCGATGCTTCAGGTTTCATCCGTTCTCGGCACCTGGACCCTGGAAATCCGTTTCACCAGTGCGCAAACACAGCGCGAAAACGAAAGAACCGCCCGGCACCAGTGACAGGCCCCTATGCCACAACAGCGTCTTCCAAGACTGCTTTAAGGGAGCTATCTGTCAATATGTAAAAAGGACAAAAATGAGAATGCGGTTTCCTGTCTCATTGTCCTTCAAATCTAGCCGTTCACTCCTTCTTGGCCACTTTGTTTCGCTTGTCCACTCCAATGAACTGCACAATCAACGTGGCATTAAAGATGCAGTTGTACAATAAGGCCTTCATACCGGCACAGTCGTTGCCACTTTTGTAATGCCACAAGGTTTTGCCCAGCAAAAGGAAGCTGGTGGCAAACTGCAGGATCTGAAGTTTGGTGATCCATTTTTTCCACGGTGTGGGACGGTTTAAGATCTTCATGGCATAGTAGTGATACCTGGAGGCAACAAAAACATTGGGTTATGATTGGGAGCATCAGCACTAGGGCCAAAAAAATATCGTCTAGCATGTCCCGCTATCATAATCATGATAGTCCTCATCATCAGGGCTATCATAGTCGTCATCATCATCAACAACAACAAGAAGCAAAACCAAAAACAACCAAGAAGAAGTTGGCATGGGGGGTTGGAGCCCTCAACAAAGCCACAAATTTAGTGAATGATACACACAAATAGTTGAATGGACCATGAAAGTCTGGTATATCATCACTTTCAGTACCTAGAATGGCTGTTTGATTATGGGTGGGTTCACCCCTGTATGATTCAACCTGCAAAAAAGGACATCACCATGGAGACACCACAGATTTTGAAAAAAACGCCCAGCGACATGATCACATGCACCAGGGTGTTGAACAGCAGACCACCCCACTGCAAGGATTGCTGCGTTTCGCACCAAAGCCATGCCATAGGCACCACCGCCGCGTGATGATAGACCTGCAACTTGAAGTGAGGAACACGACTTTTCTGCAGCAGCACCAGCACAGTGTCCAACATCTCGTAGTACCTGTGCACCAAAAACACTTCCGGGAGACTGTCATCTGAGTTTGTATGGAACATATCTGAAAAATCTGAAAACATCCTATTGAATGATGTTGCTACCCGCCAAAAAAAGCTGAAACAACATCACATCAATTATCACAGAGCTACTTGCTAAGGTAGTAGACATATGACCAGAAGTATAACGGCCCCAGCGACTGCCGCACATCTTCACAGAAGAACCAGTCGAAGCTTCCACTGCTGGACCACCTCCGTAGGAGCTCCAGCAAGGTTCCGAGGAACATCAGAAGGGAGCCAACGGAGAGCAGCAGATTGTGGACCACCGTCACCTCAACATTCTTCAGCTAGAGTTTAAACATCTCTAAACAGCGCTTTAAAGATATAACATATATATATATGTCAACATATATTTGAAACACATTTCAACTCTTCAAATGTTCAGTTTGAACTATTCAGGTACTCAAAGATTGAAGATTCCTGCGGATCCAGTGGCTGAGTGCTTCAACCTATGGTGATTCAACCCAATCCGCGGGGCCCCAAAGGGAATGCAGGGGACCTTAAAAATATCAGAGGGATGCAATAACCAGCAGTTGAATATTTTGGAAATCATCTCTCCCTTCCGTCCGGTCCCAGTCACTTTTTGAAGGCCGAAGGCTTTCGCATCCTTCAGTGCTCAAGGCTTGTAGCCAAAATGTTGTTGGGAGCGTGAAATCTCCAAGAAGTATTCATTCAGGTGTTTTCAATTCTGCAAATGAGATTGAGACTGCTTGAAATCCACCCTGGAACTTGGTCATGAAATCCAGAAGTGACCAGGAATCCAATATGACAAAAATATATAAAAATATCGAAAACACATCATGTGGGATTTGATCCCCATGTTTTGGTGGGCAACACCGAAAACTGGATTTTTTTTAACAGCCCAGCTCCAAGTCAGCGTCAAAACAAAAAACCAGCCGGAAAACAAACCTAAAACCCAAGGTCCTTCATGGCCACACCCAGCAGAAACACCAGAACCAAATAGATCAGCACCCCAGCCGCCGGCCAGCGCCAGTCCGAAGCGAAAGCCCCATCCCAGCTGAAGTGATCATAGGCCATCAGCGACATGGGTCGAGGCGAAAATTGGTAATTACGGGAAATGCCGTGAGTCCTGGGGTTACCCGGTTACCTCAAATAAAATTCGGAAGTGGGATGAAGTGGGTTAAACAAAGGTCTTCATGTTGGACCCATATTATCATACTCAACACAAAAAAGCGAGAACATCTGAAAATCCAGGTGAAACCTCCTTCAAAGAGTTTGTGAACATATCGAATCTTCAAAGGGCCTCACCATTCACCATTGAATTGATTTCAGTTGGTCCCTGTCAGGTTTGGATCAAATGTTCCTCTCCAGAAGCTGCATAGAAGCGGATCATGTTTCCAGGTTGATGCCAACACGTTTGCCATGCCCAGTCAGTCAAGTGCCTCAGTTCGTCACAGCTCAAAGGCTTGCTGACGCAAGAATAGCTCCACCAGTTTAAGTATCCATTGACGCCAAAAGACAAACATGTGATCTGAGAAGGACAAATTCCACTGAGAAAGGGGGTGCAACTGGGCACGCGACATATATGCACATATCCTATATCACCACAGAGGCCAACGAATGCGCATCTATTCCCCTTACTTATCCAATCTGGACCCTGGGCCTAAACATCGCCATGATGATGGAAGTCCCATTGAGAGAGAGCTCTACAAACATTACCTTGCGCTGGTTCACCAACTTTGTTCAGCATCAACAAGTCATGTTTAAAGACTCCAAACTTGGGCAATATGAGGAAATCCAGGAAATCCCTAAATGTTTAAAGGCTCAAATGATGAATCTTCTGGATCTATTGGAGCCCCATCTTTCAGCATTTTTGTTAAACCAGGACTGTCATCCAAAGACACTGCCGAATCTGGTCACAACACACATTCGGATTTGACTAAAAATATATTACAACGACTAGATATGTGCAAAAACATTGAAAAACCATGTTTGGGAAGCCCTTTTATCCTTAAAACATCTTAAAACATGGAACAAAATCTCTGAGGTCAACGTGGATTTCTTTAGACCAGTTCCGCCTGGCAGCTACGTCTTGGCTAGTTGATGTTGGTTGGTAAGGAGACCTGATGGAAGATCACTGGAATCCAACGGAATATGATATATGTCATGTAGGATATAGGTCTTGGGTCTTGGGAATCCTTTCTAAATGGTGGTTCCCATGCTCATGGAATTTTAATGGTATTTCAATGGTATTTTATTGTTTTTCTGTGAAAAAAACATCGGCTGAAGCTCTATGCCATACCATCCACATCGTAAACGATGGCACCTTGTAGAGACCTTCCAAGCCATGTCCCATCAGGCCATACTTGGACCCAAACTGTGGAGCCTGGGGGGGAACGGAACATCCTCGTGGGAAAAGATGGAGAACTATCTGGGAAATTGTCATCTGGTTGGTGGTGCAATAACCATCTTGAAAAATATGAACGTAATGGGAAGGATTATCCCATATATGAAATGGAAAATAAAACATGTTTGAGACCACCAACCAGTCATGGAAATCTCAATGAGATGCTATGGGAAATATAGCAATCAATGGAATGTGATGTTTCCGATAAGTCATGGTACCCCCTTGTACCATGGATGGCCATGACTTAGTAAACCACCATGGTTACAACTGAGGATTTTCCATTTATAACTGGCTTATGATGGGATGATCCATGGATCCTTTCAGACACACATCCTGAGGTGGAAGGGGATTGTTGCGGATAGCCACTGATCAGTTTCTTTGAAGTCACACCTTGTTTTTGTCGGGGATTGGCCGTATTTTCTGTCTTGGGATTTAGAACATGTTTTGTTGGCTTCTGAAAAAAACAGAAAATATACCCTCTTGTAATTTAACATGGCTATGGAAAATCACCATTTATAATGGGAAAATCCACTATTTCTATGGCCATTTTCAATAGCTTTTTGTATGTTTACCAGAGGGTGGGATCTTAAGCATTTTGCATCAACAAAAAACACAACGGGATTTCAAGACACCAACTTTCATAGAAAAAGATCTGGGGAAATCACCAATATTTGGATCTGCTGCGCATCTAAAGATCCAACAAAAATAGTGGAGGTCCAATTTCGGCAAATCAACTCTCATGCTTATGATGGCGCCAATTTTGGATCTGCGCTTCTTTTTCTTTCAAAATTGATTTGAAATCTCAGCATTCCTGGCAACAAAAACATGATTCATTGGATTGGTTTCAGGGAAAATCTTAACCGGAAACCCCCATATTTGGTGGGAAAAAAAACAATGGTTTCCGGTTAAAGATATTCCCTTATACCAAGCTATTGAATCATGAGAAAACGCATCATCAACGACCCATCCAGTGGGTTTTTCCCGCTAGTCTGACCACTGGGGACCCATCTTCTTCCGACTCATATCCCGTTGAATGTTCCCATCCCCCAAAATTACCCAGATAATATACTATAGATAGTAATATAGATAGTATATAATAAAGATAGTAATATAGTAATACAGGTAGCAATATAGAAAATTACTCAGATACTTACCAGTCTCTTCCAGTTCCATAGATAATATAAATATATTATAATATATATAATTTACAGTATCCCAGTACTAGTACCCTCTAGTACGCAAACATGGCAAAGAACAATCCCGTCGGTATATCCAACTATACTAGATTACTAAATTTGTTCATTTAAATGGCAATGGACATCCCCTATCAAATATGGTAATCTGAAAAAACATATCCCATAAATAATGGTTTCTAGCCGGGAAAATCATCGAACGAAACCATTGTCCAAAGTACTATAACTCCCTCAACCAACCAGTATTCAAATCCTCAATGATGGTTTATAGCTGGGAACATCATCTATATTAATTGTAAAGGTTTATATCTGGTTGGTGGTACACCTACCCCTCTGAAAAATATGAGTTCGTCAGTTGGGAGTATGACATTCCCAATATATGGGAAAGTCATAAAATTCCATGGTTCCAGTCACCACCAACCAGATATCAATGGGAAAAAAACATGGGAAAAACCAGCAGTACTTTTCCATTGAACCGCCTTCGTTCGTGGATTTCGCCCCGCCTCAGGGATCTGGCCTCCCAGGGCTGCACAGTGGGAGCGCCAGAGGGACAGGAAATGTTCGAACTGATTCAGCACCGAGTCCTTTCACCCACCCGGGAATTGAGTGAAAGCCACAAAATTGGCTATTTGGATGGGAAAAATATGGAAAATTGGGGAACTTGAAAAAGACCATGTAATTTGTTGATTCCTATATTCAAAAAGGTCATTTTCCATAGCGGAAACTGCAAAAACAGGACCTCCCCTCCACAATGATAAAAGCCATGGTTTGCAGTGAAGGTTTTGCCTCATCAACAGTTAGAGGTGTCAAAAAATCCTGAAATAATGACATCAACATATAGCTTTCCCTCAAATCAATCCATTCAACTCATCACACCCAGTAGCAGTTTTCCCCCGACCATCCCATGGAATTTGGGGATGGGCCAAAATCCATTAGTAAAAACAACATAAAATCAGTCAATGAAGCCATGGGGGGAAAAAAACATATTGTGTAGTATTAAGCAAATTATTAAGCAAATTATTAAGCAAATCATTCAGATTCTGAATTACCCTCTGGTAATGACTAACATAGCTATTGAAAATGGCCCATAGAAATAATTGATTTACCCATTGAACAATGGTGATTTTCCATAGTTTTTTCTAACCGTTTACCAGAGGCTAATCCAATCATCATGGCTTGTAATATCAATCCCACCTTCGGGGAAACCTTGTTGTAGCCCTACAACAGACCCCACCATAGAAACGCCTTGGAATTCACGGTAGCAATTGTTGTATCCCTTCTCCCAAGATCAAAATATGATGGGAACTAAGTTCTTCACTGGGGCTGTTCCGAAAGGCGCAAGCCCTTCAATTGAGATTTGGAATCATTGGGAAAAAAGGGGGTTTCTGAAACCAAACACAATTAAATCATTATGGTAATAGCATCCTCAAATTCATGATGCATATCCCCAAATGGCCACGTAAATAGGGATGATGATGATGATGATAATAATAATAATAATGATAGACCACCGGATTCAGGGGTATCCAATTATCACACATTCTCACATCAAAAATGGTCAACAACATATTTTTGCCTTCAAATTCTATGGTTTTCATATGGATTTATAGTGAAAAATGGATCAAATCTTCTGATATCAACATAGTTTTCCCTCCATTTTTCACTATAAATCCAGTTTGATCCATTTTTTCTATGGATATCAAACATGGATTCATATTTTTACATAGATAAATCCATATTTTTCACTAGAAATCCATTAAAATCCATGGTTTTCCCATGGTTTTCCCATCGTTTTCCCTCCGTCCTCCTGGAAGTCAAAGTTCCTGCAGTGCGTGACCCAAACGTCTTCCAGGAGCCTGGCAGTGGATGGCTCCTGGGAAAGTCCTGGGAGAGATGTAACATATATATATATATATGGGAAAAAACATAATGTGTTTGTATTGGATACATAATAGTATGGCAAGTATGAGTGTCCATATAGATATATACTGGTTGGTGGTTTCAACCCGTCTGAAAAATATTAGTCAGATTGGATCATCATCCCAACTATTGGGGAAAAATGTTTCAAACCACCAACCAGGTATATATATATATTATTATATATAACGAGGATATCAAATGGTGATCTAATATAATGGTCATCTAGTAGGATGATAGGTGTATATATATATAATGTGAATACTCCCTCAGCGGCAGCGATTCGGGCCCGTTGCTTGGGTGCGTCCAGTGAGGCAACCTTTTGTTGTTGTGCTCAGCCATCCGGGGTTGCCACTACCGAGGGTCATGTGCACCAGGTTTTGTACGAGCACCGTACTTAAGTCACATCAGGCGGGGAAAGTCACATCATCCCCATGGCACGGCGGCGATACGGAGAAGTCACATCAGGTAGTGGAAAGTCACATCAGGGAAGAAGAATCACCATGGCACAGCCTGTTTCATCCATACTTGGAGATGTAGTTAAAGGTAGCCGAAGCATTGCGCACAGCGATGATTTTGAAGGGCACAAGTTAATACAAACAAATTCTCGGCAGCTAATCCTATTGGATTTGAATATATTATATTGATGTCCTGCGTCGCGTGACCAAATCAAACCCCTATTGGCGCAGCCTCAAATTTCTTGCAATGCAAGTGGGTTAGCTGTAGCAAATCCTATTGGCAGGGCTATGATCTAGGATGATATAAGGATATGGGGGCCCCTTGTTTTCCGCAACCAAATCCATGGCTGGCGCGATGTGCATCAATGTCGTGGACAGCTCTCAAGAAGTTTGTTGTCCTATCCACCCAGGAATTACGAACTGGAAAAAACCTTCATTCCATTGCGGGCGGAAAGCGTGGCAGGTTTTGTCGGTGCTCCGTCTGCGCCGTCTGTTGTGTCTGTTCCGTCTTGCACCGTCTTGCCGTCTGCGCCGTCTTGCGAGATGGTGCGAGATGGCGGAGATGGTGAGCACAGCGACACAACCGCGCTATGCGACCGCAATGTTTCAGTCCCTCTCTCTGCTGGTGTCTCCCGCCCGTACCTCCCGTCAGCGCCAAACAAGGCGACCGAGACTGTTATTTTCTGTTTCGGCAAAATGTTTGCACGAGCGGCAGCAGCAGCAGGAGGCACGCAGGCACGCAGGCACGCAAGGAGCAGCAACAACAGGCAAGCAGTAGGTGAGCAGCAGGTGAGCAGCAGGTGAGCAGCAGGTGAGCAGCAGCAGGTGAGCAGCAGCAGGTAAGCAGCAACAAGTAGCAGCAAGCAGCAGCATGGAGCAGCAAGCAGCAGGCAAGCAGCAGGCAAGCAGCAGGCAAGCAGCAGGTGAGCAGCAGGTGAGCAGCAGGTGAGCGGCAACAGGTAAGCAGCGGTAAGCAGCAGCAAGCAGCAGCAAGTAGCAGGCAAGCAGCAGGGATGCAGCAGGGAAGCAGCAGGCAAGCAGCGCCCCCTTGAAAGAATGATCAAATATATATTTTTTTAAATCAACGCAATAAAAAAAATGAACTTTTTCCAGGCGCACGGCCCCAAAACAATGAAATTGTTCAATTACTAAAAGTTGTGGTGATGCCAAACTTGAACTTTTTCCAGGCGCACGGCCTCCCGATACGACTTTTACAAGCTGATACGACTTAACGCTAGCGCTTGTAGTTACAATTCATGCCACTACAAAGGACTCTTGGTTTCGGAGGTCCATTTCAGGATTCATACTAATTGAACAGTTTTATGGACCACGCGGACATGTCTACAAAACTTTCTCTGTACTACAAAAACCCAGGACACACCAAGGTGATTCTTACAGAATAGAGCCTTACAAAACTAAATTGTAGGGGTCACATGATCAAGGCTTTTGCAAGGGAAATGGTATCATTGGTATCCCAAACATAATAATAATAAATAATAATAATTAATAATAATAATATATATATATATATACATACTAGTTGGTGGTTTTAACCATCTTGGAAAATATGAGTTCGTCAATGGGAAGGATGACATCCCATATATGAAATGCAAAATAAAAGCCATGTTTGAAACCACCAACCAGTATATTAACTATATCCAGTGGTTTCAATATCCCCTTTTTTTAGTATCGCTATTAGGAAACCACCATATATTACACATAACCAACTTGTAACTTGGTATGATCAGGGTCTGAAAATGGAGATCTTTGTTTGGCCCACCTCAATAGATCTCCCCCATGGTCTGCTTCTCCCCTGCCGTGCGCCCGGGCTTAAGTTCTGCTTGGAAGGCAGCCGACTCCTCTTGCACCAAAGTCCGCACAGAGTGGCCTGGACGTCGCAGGTGTGTCTGAAAATGAGGGATTTATTTATTTATATATGTATATATATATATATGTAATTATGCCCTCCAAATCACCATTTTAATGATTTTTCATGGGGATAGTGACTGATAGTGATTTGAATCGAATTGGGAGTAGCCTATTTTCAGACAAGCCCACATGTAAACTAACATGCACAGAGGCATCACAAGGGGAGGTATCGCAAAAACGCACTTCGAAGCACCGCCACGTAGTGAGTCATTTCAGGGAGGTTATCGCAACCAGCTAAGCCACCCAAGCTGTCAACTCGTGTTGTCCACGCCCATTCGCAGCCTGGTGCGAAGTCCAGTCCACAGCTTTTCTCCCGCTTTGTTGTTACACATTGTTGCGGCTGAAACATGTTTTCTGATGGCTCTTGCATGTTTTCATGTTGTTGCTGTTGTTGTTGCTGCTGCTGAACATCAATTTATACAATTTATGCTGTAATTACACATCAAGAAAACAGTCTCACTTCTTGCACTTGGATTTCGCTCAACTTCCTGGCAATAAGCATCTACAGTGGCTGCCATGTTAACAAATGGACTTGGAGGGTTTTCTCCCAGATTCCCCAAAGCTCAGCGAGCTTCAACGACGCTCGGTCTGCGCCTTTCCATGTTTTCGTCAGCTTCTCTTTGAGCGTTGCTTCTGCACCTGGCTTTCATCAACATCAACCCTTTCTCTAGGTGAATTTTCCCCATTTTTGGAGCTGGAATGTTGATGTTTTGCGACCAAAACTCCCTTTTGATCCTTTTGTTGATGGGGAAAGGTTCTTCATCTAGGGCTCCGGATGAAGATCTTCTTCCCCAAATCGAAATGGTGCACGGTTTTCCAAAATTTCCCTATCAAAACATAAGACAAACAAAGTTTTCCCGGTAAAATCGCCACTTTATTTGGGGATATTTGGGGTAGATTCTCCATATTTTTAGAGGCAAAGACTGTTATAAGTGTACATGAGGTTTGGCTAAAAATAGTCTCCCTCAATCCATTGACTGATCATTAGTTTCCCGATGAAACAGCCACAAATGAGGGAGACCATTTTTAGACTAACCGTTATTTTTAAGGTCTTAGATGTTTTGTGGCATGTTTTACCCCCCAGTTATAAACATTGCAAATTGCAATCGGTTTTCCCCTTGCAACCTCCATGTAGTGACTGTGGATTTCCCAGTTAGCCATCTGAAAAATGACACCGAAGCATCAAGTTTGTAGAAAATATCCCAATGCTCCCATGATACATTCCCAGTATACACCCCAATAAACTATAGTGTAAAACACAATTTTCATAGTGTAAAACACCATTTTCATAAGTTTTACCAGTGTAAAACACCATGTTTCATAAGTTCTGTGGTGGATTTCACCACAGATCCCATCGTGAACTCAGCAGGGCACCGTGGGCGCCGTTGGCCACGTCGCTTGGTGCAGCTTCGGTATCGGCATCGTCTTCCTCCTCCTTGGGCGGCCCAGGTGGAGTGCACAAAACGAGGCTTGGCACGAAGAACCTGGGGCCAGGGCAGTGAGGACAGGGGAAGATGGCTGGACGGTTGGAGTGAACAGAAAAAGGGGACATAGAAAGATTATTAAGCAAGAATCTATGATAATCTATGAACATATCAGATCCAAATATGGCGGCTTGTAATGGGGCTGACGATGAGGATTTGCGCGAACTGGTTTGGATCCATGGTTTCTAATTTTCTCCGATGATTGTCCCGATCGCCACTTTTGAATCCCAATCAAATCCCATGAATTGGTCACAAAAGAGAAACTTGAAACCAGCATTCATCACCAATAAAATCCCATGAATTGGTCCCACTAAATCCCTATCTCCAAAGACCCAGTGCTGCCAGTGACCCGTCACAGCATGGCCCACATTTGCCGAAGCAAACGGCTCCGAAGGCGACAACAAATGCCATCAATAGCACCTCGGTTTGGATGAGAATCACTAGGGTTTTATTGGAGAGAACCTAGCAATAGTAACTGTAGTAACATTAGTATCATCCATCCATATTGGATGAGAATCCTAGCGTTTGTATAAGTATTTACATGAGATAAGTATAGTAACTGAGCAAGAAACACCTTCTTAGAAGGTGAACAGTTTAACCTTGTACTCATATGGATTCGTGGGGTAAAACTGAGGCAACAGAAACGTTTCACTGGCACCACTCACCTTCTTGGATGAGAATGCGTCCGAACAACCAGCAGCAGAAGGCTCCAAGTCTGAAATATGTATCAACATTTACAACCCAACATCACCCAGTTTTGTAGGTATAAAATACATGGAGCATCTGGGAATAGCAACGAACTGGAGGCCTGGAGTTTTCTTGTTCAAGACATTCCAACATGAAACTCCTCAAGTATAGTTCTTGGAACCGAATGATGTCGCTAACCTAACATCACTTATGGAATTCATGGTCCATTCATGGATCATTTACCTTTTACTTTGTTAATTTCCAGTTTGCAAAGTGTAAACGTTTACTGAAGGCTGAAAGTCTGCAGAACCCAGGTGATGGAAGATTCGGATGCCTCGTGATGGTGTATCTGCAGGCTATACCTCATTCTCAATGGTAATTCATCTATAAATGGATCATTTTCCATAGCAACCCTCTGGTAAACGTTTACAGTTTGCGAACTGGAAAATCACCATCTTTGAATAGGTATATCAACTATTTCTATGGGCTATTTTCAATAGCTATGTTAAACGACCTGAGAGTTGTTTCACCCTTTCCCTGGCTGAGAAATACACAGCCGAGACACGGCGACTCGCGCGGCTTTTGAATGGCTGTTGCTGATGCAGTATGGTGGCCCAGGGACGTTGCAGCACTCGCGTTCCCTGGTTGAGACGGAGACGGGCTTGGGCAGAAAGAAAACTAAAACATGGTGGTTTAATGGGATTAACATTTATGTCTTTCAATATCATTATAATCATTATCATTAAACCCCATTTATGATGATATATAACATTTTTAATGGTGCTTTACTGAGAATATCATGGTGAAATAATGTTTGTTTTTTAATGGGATTCACCATCCCCCATCATATAGACACTCAAAAATCCGCTGTTTTTTTTCCATGGGTTTCTTTATTCTTTAGCCCAAGAAAATGAGGTAACTATAGATTAATTACTAGATATTCCGAATTTCCGGAGAAAACCAATCCAAAAATTGTCTCACGCTGCGACACTGCAACATCCAAAAGGCTCAGCTCCCCTTAGTTCTTGAGATGAGTTGATGACATTTCGATTTGCGCTGACTTCTGATGGCTAATGTTTCCACAAGTGTTTAGTTCACCCCTATCATGCATCACATTCGTTCACTGAAAAAAAAAAACCTGTCATTCACTTCAGCTGACCTCTACACCTCTCTTTTATCGGCCCACAGGATCCAACTTATCCATATGGATATGGATCAATTAGTCCTGCTCAATGATCTCAATGATCTCAATGATCTCAATGATTAGTTTATGATAATGATACTTGATATATAATACAAATTCCCCCTGATGTTGAACACCCCCATGGTATGCTCCCAAAAATATGTTTTATCCCATCCCCTAAACTATGGTTTCTGGGGTTCAATATGAACGGGGGATGGGATCTATATTATATTGTTGGTAAGGTATATTGAATTCAACCCCGCTAAATGCCATTCGATCCACATTTGTTCTAGAGTTACTCTCTGGTAATTTAACATAGTCATGGAAAATTGCCAATTTATACTTTATTGATGTTTATTTATGGTTATTTACCTATTAAAAGTGGTGATTTTCCAGTTCGCAAACTGTAAACGTTTACCAGGGGGTATCGATCCCATTCAATCCCACCGCGGGCGAAATCCTCCATCGGATCGTTGGTGGTTGAGCCAGCCAGCCCTCTGAAAAATGATGGAGTGAAAGTCAATGGGAAGGATTATTCCCAATATATCATGAACAAATAAAATTCATGTTCCAAACCACCAACCAGTATATATTACCATGATCATTCCATGTATATATCCTGTTATATCATCCCAATGTTCATGGTGCAGTGGGATGATCATGGGATAATCTAGTTACTATCATTCTCATTATCAACCATTATTAACCATGATTAACCATTATTGACCATCATTAAGCCAATATATTATGGAAAAAAAACATGTTCCAAACCACCAACCAACTATAATAACCTTAGATGGAAGATTTTTCATGGAACATTAGATGGAATATAGAATATCAATGAATATCATGGGATGTTTGAAACCACCAACCAGTTGAAATACCCTCTGGTAAACGTTTACATAACTATGGAAAATCACCATGCTATTAATGGGAAAACTCACTATTTCGACTGGGCCATTTTCAATAGCGTTAGTCATTACCAGAGGGTAAATCCCCTTAGATCACGATTAAACCACCATAAAATCACCATTTATAGTGGGTAAATCACCATTTTCCTATGGTTTTCCACGTTAAATTACCAGAGGGTATCACCAACCAATCCCATGGTAAATCCCGCCTCATCAGGACCTGCCCCCAGGCGCAGGCTGCCAGGTTTGCTCGTCTCACCGGGTCGATGGACAGCTTCGCCTCGTTGTGATTTGGCAGGTTTAGACGGTGGAAAGTTGTGATTTAACCAAAGAAACATGGTGAAAGTTGGGGTTTAACCATCAAATATGGCAAACAAAACTGAAAGTTGTTATAAAATGGATCTAATTGGTGAAAGTTGGCGTTTGACCAGTGAACGTTGGCAAACAATGGATTTAACTGGTGAAAGGTGTTAAACAATTGGGATTTTACCAGTGAAAGTTGGGATTTAACTGATTTATCCATCAATCAGTGGCAAACATGGTCATGGAACCCTGGGGGAAACATATAAAACATATGGAAAAAACAACCATGGTTTCCCGTTCGGACAATGATCTAGACTTTCATTTGTGGGTTCTACTTTTTAATGACTTGAGGGTAAGCAACAAAAGAAGGGATGAACATTGAGAGGTTTAAGAGATTTATTCAAGCCATGAGCTTGAATCAGAAATCATACCCTCCAAGACTGACCAAGATTGGGGGTTGCCCCATTCCATGGAGTGAAATCCTGGTCCACATGATTCATATCGTTTCATGGTCATAAACTATAGAGGCAAACATCCATGCAGTAAAGCCCAAACAAGGTGGAGGCCCATATAGTTAGCTAAGTTGGGTTGGTTTGTAACTCCAGTCACTGTGGTTTGTGGTATATATATATATGTATATCTACATGGTTCGATGGGGGTGATAAACCAACAAACATACATGTGGGGAAAAAAAATACTGGGTTTGTCTATGGGGAAACCCCACCGCAACGCCAGTGGTTGACCGTGATTTTCCCATGCATTTTTTCGGGTCGGTGCCTTGTCGCAAAGCGCCGTCGCTTCAGACACCCTCGATTTCCAGGAGGCATCCACGGCCTTGAAGTGAAGAACTTGAACATCTCTTCACTACATGGAGGTTTATGGAAGGGAAAATGAAGAAAATGAACATCCCCTATTTTTGGGGGGCTTTATGGAAGGGAAAAAGTAAGTGTCAACGGAGGATTGAAAAAATGCCATGATTACCAGAGGATCATTCGGTGTTAAAACTCTTGTGACAAAATAGTGTAAACGGTTTACATAGGAAAAGCATCAATAAAATCCTGGACATTTAGTAGAGATTTTCGATGGACAAACTTCAAACATGGTGCTTAAATCGGGATTTTCATAAGGGACAAACACATATCATAAATGATTACTTTGCCCCATGAGAAACAGCCTCAAAGATGGTGAAGCACATTTCCGATTGCTATGTGACTGACTACTGGAGGGTTGGCTAATTGGTTTAACGATCAACTAACGATCATTTGGAGGTTGGTTTTCTCTATGCACACATGCATCCACAGGTTTTGTTGTTTATCCGATTTCTTGATGGTGATAATTCCCATGTCACTGTTCATAATAGTCATCACAATGTGGTAAAGCCCATAATAAGCCATCCCCAAAATCACAATTTAATAATAATCACTCCCCTTGGGGATGCTTTCAATCCCAGCCATTTCTGGTAAGTTACTGTATTGGTCAAGGGATTAAAGGGAAAACTTGTTGGAAACCATTGTTCCCTTTAACCTGGTAATTGGAGATGGTTTGCCGTTAGTTTTGGATTACCCCTTTTACATATTCTATCCCAATCCAATTAATGGTTGCTCTAATCCCAAATGTTGTTGGGTTTACCACATAAGCACTGTTCAAACCCGTCTGTCATCCATTTACTAGTTTCTTGCGAGCGGACTCCAAAAATGGGTCAAAATCATCCCTAACCCAGGTAGATTATACAAGTAGTCCTATAATATATAACCTAATGTCAAGCCTAAATCAATAAACCGTTGTTATTTTTTGTGTGGTATCTCCTATCAAATCATCACCGTTTGGGAGTAACCCCCTTAATGAATCAGGGTTTACTAATCCCCAAGACCTCAAAATCATGGTAAACGTATTAAGATCATGGGCTGACCAGCATTTTTCATCGGTATTTGGAGTACTCCCCACTTCAACAGCGAAAAACGATTCAACGCCTGTCCGTAGAGCTCGGCCAAGTGCGAGTAGTCCTTGTCTGCCTGGTCTTGATGACAACTCCAGCTGAAGTTTCCAGCTGGATTGGTTTAAGGGACAACTTGCAATTAGTTGATTTTAACACAATCAGATGATTAAATCTACCACAATCCAATTATTAACATATTCGATACATATTATATTATCTGGCTGGTGGTATACCTACCCCTCTGAAAAATGATGGAGTGAGAGTCAGTTGGGATGATGAAATTCCCGATATATGGAAAAATAAAATTCATATTCCAAACCACCAACCAGTTATAAATGATTGGGTTTTCACCACAGCTTCTTGCAAATTGTTCCCTTCAACATCCAACCTATCACGTTGGGTCTTGCGCAGCTATCACCGGCAAAATCATGAATGTCCATGTGTTTTTGTCCCATTCGCAGGTCAACGCTGGAAAAAAAAAGGTGACCAGCTTCCAACCCGGATGGCCATTTAGGGCAAAAACGGCGGAATACCATATCCTTTTTGAAAAACTGATGATGATAGAAGATGATATTACATGATATAAAACGATATAAAACAATATAAGACTATATAAGATGATAGAAGTTATAAAACTATACACAGTAAGATGTGTGCAAGCACCAATTCCGCCCACCTTGCTGACTCGCTGGCAGTTGAAGCTCTGGATCTGCATCAAATCCTGGAGCCATCTGACTGGTCTCTTGAAGTCGTTCCATGACATAGCTATGGCATAGCTAGATTTCTGGGATAATTTTGCTATTAGTATAAGACTGGAGTAATCTTAATGCTCGAATTATCTTGGGAAAATATTGGGATAATAATATATAATGATACGTGATTTCCAATCTTGGAGTAATATTGGGAGAAATTCATTGGGATAATATTGGAAAATGTATGAAATTGTGATATATTCTGTGAATTTCCTGGATTTTTGCAGTGCTGTTAATTGGGATAATCTTGGAATATATTGGACCATGAACCCTCTGGTAAACTAACGTAACTATGGAAAATTGGTAAATCCACTATTTCTATGGCCATTTTCAATAGCAAACTGTTAGTCATTACCAGAGGGTAGCCAATTGTAACCATGCAAGTGGTTCCAATTGAATCCCGGGCATTTCACCGTTGGACATATCGCTCTCTTTCGTCTTGGCTGCAGAAAAAGGCAGCGAAATCATCCTGCCGCGTTACCAGCGTAGACACGGACAATTGGATAATAGTAATTATATGATATAGATTGATATAGATATATATATAATATTATACATATATATATATAATATAGTCTCAATGTCCCTTTCCCTGGTGGCCAAAAACATCCAACTTAAATCACAGATCCATCTTTTGGGTCACCCAAAGGAGTCCCAAAAGCAGTGCCTTCTCAGTAGCAGTGGACGGAGCAAAACAGAAATTGCAATCATCTGCAGCCTGCCAAGGGCTGCCAGCGGAGAGGCGCAACATGTCAAAATTGGGGCAGCCAAATGCCATGAGAAACTTGTATCAAGGACCAGTTTAACCCCAACATAACAAACTTTTAATATGTAAAACAAATTCTTCCAAAATATTTGGATGGTGCCTGGTGTCTTACTTTTGCCATGTCTTTTTGGCTACCGGACGCATTTGCGGATATGTCTGGAATCATTTTTTCGGGGCCATTTGGGATGATTCTCCCCATCCGTCTTGACCCATGCTGTGGAACTGAAGAAACTCCCCAAAGCTTCCCAATTACATCATCTTAAATAGGAATCCCATTTATTTTATAGTTAAATCCAACACTTTCCTAGTCAATCCAGTTTGGTCCCACGTAACTGAAGTTTCTTTACTTCATCAAATCCATGTTTGTTCCTAGATCCACAAAAAAAACCCAGTTCAATCAGTTCAATCCTCATTTTTTTTGACTACCCTCCTGTATACTAACATCATAACATAGATATGGAAGACACAGATACACCGCATGCAAGTAGATCATTTCCCGTACGGGAAACGGTGGTTGTTTTCGACATATTTCTATTTACCCAAGGGTAAATCACCATGTTTCATTGTTGAATCCCAAATTTCAAATCTCAAAAATTGAACCAATTTCACTGCCTGAAATCCCCCAAAAAATCGTGGTTCATCATCATTTTCCCCACGAAAATTGCCATATGTTTAGGGTAAACGCCCTTTTTTCATGGCAAGGTGCCACGTCCAGGACCTGGTCCTGAAGAACGAGCCAGTTGGCCGCATCTAGGACGTCTTGTGGCTCTACCAAGATCTGCTTGTCACCTTCAGAGATGGGGAGATGGGTGGAAAACTAAGCATCAAACAGGGAGAAGTTGGCAAGGAGAAGTTGGAATTCAAGTGAATTTTAGTAGGAAAATATTGGATTTAAACTAGGAATAACAGATCTATAGAAGCGGGAAAATAAAACAATTTGACGATTTAACAACACTTCCTTCACTTTGATAGGTTTAGGGTGGGATAAAGATTCCTTTGGTGTGTACCTTTCTTGACCCAGAAAAGTTCGTCATTTGGATCTGAAACCATCCAAGCCGGCCCTTAGGGGTGGAACAAAATCCTTGGATCCTGGTGAACCCTAAATGGTTGGGATTCATAAATATTCTTCCCAAAAATATTGTAGTTGTAGTATGTATATATATATATATTGCATAGGTATTGACACACCCATGAATTGTCATTTTGACCGGTGTTCAAAACTCGCAAATTGATGCCAAACGGTGGTTGAGAGCAGGGTTCCTAGACCAACATGCAGAACTATGGACTGTTTTGCTGTGAAAGCAGGCTACCATTCATTGTGTTGATCCCTGAAGTGCAGGACAGTAAAATACAGTAAACACCCACTAACATCCACTAACCACGTCCAAATCAACATCTGGTTGGTGGTATACCAACCCCTCTGAAAAATATGAGTTCGTCAGTTGGGATGATGACATTCCCAACTGAATGGACAGTCATAAAATTCCATGGTTCCAGTCACCACCAACCAGTTTTTTTATCGTGATATTCCTATATCATCACTACTTGGATCAATTAACATTAACCTATAGATACTATTTCACATCGTGATATTTTGACATGGTCCGGAATCCTTAGCTGCCTTAGCTCATGGTTACCATGACATTGCCATCTTCGGTGTCCCAGGTCACATCCACCACATCAGCCTGGATTGATAAAAACCATGATAAAACAGTGGTTGATATCAAATGTTCATATTGTGTTGGGTTGATTTTCAGAGGGGTTATCAATAAATGGACTGCTCCGTTCATAAATTGAGAGTATTTCTCGCTAGTTGCGGTGGATCTGTTCCTCTGGGGTCCAAAAAAAAGGTCTACAGAATTACGAATCGTGGCCAAGAGTTTGACTCTATGTTAGTACATGTCAGGCACATGATTCATACCTCTCCATCCATTTTGGAATACCAAGCTCTCCTTCGTTTATTCGGGGATTAGAGCATAACATAGACAACATACAAGTATCATACAAACTATAATACCACTATTCTATCTCATATTTCGGTGTGCTATCATCTTTTCAGGATATGTCACTTTGATTCACTTTGTGGGTTTTCAATGGTTTTCATAACAATTCCAGGACCAGTAGTTCAGGATTTCGCTTTTCCATCTTCCCCTGGTGCGACCTAGGCACCTGGCAGCTTGCCTTCCACCACCAGCAGCGGAACCAGAGGAAGCCATCCCATGGCGGACACGCACCGGTCAAATGTGACGACTTTGAGCTGTGAAAACTGAGGGAACTGCAGAGTTTTCTCCAAGTAACCACACTTAGGATCTTGATTACGGGAAAAAACATTTTGGGGGTATGACTGATATACTGATATTATTACGTACTGGTAACAATTGTGTTTTTTGTTTCCCTTTTTTTTGCCTTGGTTTTCATGGATTTCGCCGCAGTGATGCATCTGGTGACATTGATTTTTTGGTCCGCCCTGCCAACCCCACCTGGCACAAAAGACTACCAACCCCAAACAACTATTCCGTTGAATCCCCGGCCCACAATCTGTATAGGCTTTGCTTATGAAACCATTTCATGTAGATCCATGTGGATCCTTACCTATGCACGGTACTTGTAAGAAATAGACAATCCAGAAAATATATGGAAAAAACATCGAAGCCAAAGCCCACCGTGGTGAGGATCTGGCAGTTCCTGTTTTCACAGGCATGCCCCCGAAAGTGTCCAAGCAAACTCAACCAAAAATCCTCTATCATGCAGTCTGATTTCAGATTTAAGACATTCTGAATAAATCAGACATTTAATCCTCTATCAACCATTATCAACTTCCGGAGATATCCGCATCACTTTTTGGCACATCCGCTCAGCACAGGCTGTTGCTGCGAATGCTTGGCGTCCGACCTCCGTCTTTAGGGCCCCGGGAGTATTCACAGACCAACATTAGACACAGAACTGTCATTTTTAGTGGATTTTTGATGGCATATAAAATGTAAAATAATATATTTACATATATATATATCTATATATATACACATGTAATATCATGTAATGTATTTCAGGAATGTCATCACAAAAACTGCATTTAATGGATTTGAATGGCAACCATGTTTTTCTTCAGAATGAGATGTATTTTAAGTTCCCAACAAACCTGGTCCCAAAGATGTCAAGTGGGGTCTCGTTCGGCGGGGAGCTTCAGGGATCTTTAGGGAACAGGATCAAATCACAATATGAAATAATACAGCTATTTCCAATAAGAGTATTAGAAACAACAATAATCAAATAACAATATTATAACAATATGAATGTTAGAACAGTATTAGCTTATAATACAGGATTTCCATGACTTGATAGTTGATAATATTGACATCTTCACACTGAATGCTTATTCATCATCCAAAAATCCCCTTGAAATCGGTAACGCCAAAAGGGTAAGGTCCACCCAGCGGAGCCCTTGGGTGTTCGCTGGATGCTGAGAGGGTCACCCTCCTCCACACCAGATCCGATTAACACATCTTCGGGTCCTTGGTGAACCTTTGGAAATCATATGGGAACATTCATTGGGAATATCCGTTGGGAATATCATTTTCAAAAAATGGTCATATCCAAACTGTTAAAAATCAAATCTGGAACCTGGAAAGCGGAACACTGGATGAACCTCGGGTGTATGGGATATTGCCCCAAGGTGCATTGAAATCCTCAAAAATGAAAGAGATCTCTGGTCCCCCCATTCACCTTGGAGCATGAATGGATAGCAGCATCACCTTTTTGTCACTTGGGCGAAAATGGTCCGCATCCCCAGTGCTGTACGCACCGACCAGAATACCGACGTGGTGGGGACGGCCGACGAAAATGGCATCACTCCGCAGTGTGACAACGGGAGGGGTTTCAGTACAAGACTTGGTTCATTCAACGTGGAACCTTCCCAGTAAATTCTGTTTTTCATTGGTCTCACTGCTTATACTCGTCATGTATGGCTCAAGAAAACAAGCGTATATTGCTGGGGCTTTTGGGCTGTTTAATCTGTCAAACAGGTTATCAGCCGTAAGCTAACTTCTTCCTTTCTAGGTATGTCTGCCCCCTCGGATTCCACCACCGAGGGCACCGGTCGCGTTAACTCCTCTGACCAAGCCATGGCTAATCCGGGGACATTACCTATTAGTAACTTGCCATTCTCTATTGACATCAGCACCCCACCAAGCTCCGACAAATCCAGAAGCTTACGGGAACGACGCCACCTTCCACATTTGAGTAACGCAGTTATGCCTTCTCATGTGGGATTCAGTCACCGTGGTTTTGTCCCCCAAGCCGCTCGGGAGGGTGGGCCACCGACTCGCCAATTGAACCAGATGAATGTCCATAATACGTTCCAACACAATGTTCATGTTGACAATCCTCAAGTGAATTTTGTCGAGCAGAATTTGCACCTTCATGCACAAGATCCTGCTGTGACAAGCCTTGTGGAAACAACGGCCGAACTCCGTCATCGTGAAGTATTGGCCCAGGCCGAAGCCCACGCTGAAGCCGTCCACACGGCAAAGACTGAGGAATTGGTGGAAGCATTGCGAGTCCGTGAGGGCATTGAAAGTCAGAGGGCCTTAGATGCAATGATGTCCAAAGAACAAGAAGTATTGAGAATGGGAGCACAGTATAGGGAGAATTTACAGCATGAGGCGCACGAACATGTAAGGTTCCGAGAAGCTCAAATGAATGAGAAAATTCAGGCCTACCAACGTGTCATTGATGCTAACCATCGTCAATCACTATCAAGTAAGGAGCAAGAGATCCTTGAATTGAGAAGAGCAGCTGAGGAAGAGAGAAGGGTTCAGAATGAGCGCATTACACAGCTTGAACACATGGTACAAGTACAGATGCAGCACAATCTGAAACTACAAAGTATGCTCGATTCCCAGTTTGCTCAGGTTCGTCCAAGTCCTATTGTCGAAACTGCCGCCATGACTATGACAGCCGGAACCCATGAATCAACGGAGATCCCAAATTTCGAATTTGTTCCACCGACCCGCAAGGCTGCACCCGCAGCACCTCCGACCAATGTAGCCCGACCTCCAATTGCAAGAACGCCGATCAACTTTACTTCACCTGATGCCAAGACTTATGAAAAGGATGGTATTGAAATCATTTATCATGACCCATCATATCGAGTCCCAGTCCAAGTGAAGAAGGAGTCGGATGTTGCAAGGTCTTCCGTTGAGGAACGCCCTTCGGGAGGAGAGGCCAATAATCGTCGCCGAGATAATCATCCCATGGATAATGTTAATTCCCCTGCACCGACCAATCAATATGCCCCGACCGAACTTGGCCCAGATGAAATGGAGCACTTCGAACCGGGGGGCGATGATGCGCCTGATGGGGACGATCCAGGGGATGGAGGAGATGGCAACGGAGGGAACGGGGGAGGTGGACCACCATCACCACCTGATCCTATTGATAAACCTGAAGGGGATAGGAACCGTAAGGCACCCAGAAAAGGTAGGGCTGGTCCCAACCCTCCTGACGGCGGTGATGACGGTGATGATGATCCCGATGATGATGATGATGATGAGAAGTTCAGGCGAAGAATGATCAAGTTTTTAGGGGGCTACATCGATCCAAGACATGATGACAAACCCAAAGTCAAGGAAGCTGACACAATCAAGATCCCAGCATTCCCATTGGCAGAAACCTATCGCAATTGGAGAATTAAGACCAGAGAAGCAGTTGTAGCAGCATCAACCGATCCCGACAGTGCTTTCAAGTGGTTAGTGATTCTTGGAAAGAAGATCAGACTCTTGAAGCGCTCCGGAAGGTTGCGCCGTTTGCGACACTTGATGCAAAGTTACTTTCTGCACTCACCAACATTATCACTGGTGACTTCGCCCGCAAGGTAGATACTGGACGGATTGTAAGAGGGAGACAAGTGTTGTTCATGTTGCATGACCACTTTAGTACCAACATCAAGCACGGAGCAACCTATGCCCTTCAAGATTTGTTCAGTGTCCAATTGCGCGGGGAGAATTTGAAGTCTTTCATTTCAAACTGGGATCAAGTGTTGGCTGGTATCGTCCAGACTCCCGAAGTAAGTGTATTGGAGACACTCTTCTACAAACAAGTGAAGAATTGTAGGGCCATCCAACATGACATGAATGAGTATCATAGAGCTGATGAAGGAACCGAAAAACGGAACTACAGTTTTCTTGTTTCTGCCGTGCGACGCCACCTTGACCGCGAGAGGTTGGAGGCAAATCGTGATCGAGTTGCCAAAGGTCTTTCGGGTTCCGGTCGTCCCTCCGCTCCCGCAGTCGAGGGCAAGACAGGATTCATTCCCAAGGGGTATTGTGTGGCATGGAATAAGGGAGGCTGTAGCAAGGACAACTGTACTTATAAGCATGAAGTCCCCAAGCCACGTGATAGAAGTCGCAAACCCAGCAAAACCAGAGGTCGCTCAAATGAACGTTCTGGTTCTCCCAGACCAAAGGGGAAAGGTAAGAAGATCTGCAAGTTTTGGAAACAGGGACGTTGCGATAGAGGAGCTGATTGCAAATTCCTTCATGAGGGTTCAGTGGGAAAACCAAGACAAGCTACTCCTGCCCGTTCGGCCAGTAGCGAAAACAAAAATAAAAAGAAGAATCCCAAGAACCCGAAAAGGAAGGGATCCCGAAGCTCTAGCCGCTCTAAGAGCCCCAAGAGCCCGAAATCCCCGAAGTCTAAAGGATCCGGGGCCAGTTCATCTAAGCCGTCTCCTGCCGCAGTTTGTCTTGTTGCATCCATGCTTGCATCCGTGTCTCAGGCATTTTGTATCCCTCAACCAAGAGTATTTTGTCCATCGATTCGTTTTGATGATTCACCGGACGTATCTCATGTTAAAGTCCGAGGGAACTTGAGGCCAATTGGAAACGCAGTCACCAAGGATAAGGTTACCTTTCCATGGGGACACCAGTTTGAAGTTGATCAACTTGCTGTGAATGATGCCGCTTTGACCGGTACCATGTTGGCAGGATCTGTTTCCAATTGTCTTCGGGGAATAGAATGCAAATGTGCCTATTTATGTGACACAGATTTTGGTTGCAATGAATGTATCCCAAAGGGAATCAAAGCCACCCCTGCGGAATGTAGAGAAGACGTGAAGGGAGCGATCAACCTCGAACTTGACTGGATTGCAGATACGGGGAGCGCTCAAGATCTCGTCAATGATAGTGAATTGCCGGATGACTATGGATATTATTCCAACAATCCCATTCGCATGATTACTGCCAATGGT